ACTGAAGTATCCGTGATGCTCCGCCCCCAATGGAAGAACTCCTTCCTGAGTCACTGAAGTGTATTCAGGAGGCATAAATTTAAACCATTATATAATGAGAGTTTCTTCTGAGACCAGCTGATGTAATTTAAAACAGTAGGGGGCCTCTGGGTTTTGTATCGCTTAGGGCCTCAGCAAGTCTAAATCCAGCCCTGGAGACCCGCTTGAGGTTTCTGGCCTGATGGGTTGAAGACCACTTATCGCTCCCGTGCCACCTCTGCATTGTGTTCATTGAGTCTTACCTCTGGGTAAGCCTGCATGGATCAGCAATACTGAAGTATCCGTGATGCTCCGCCCCCAATGGAAGAACTCCTTCCTGAGTCACTGAAGTGTATTCAGGAGGCATAAATTTAAACCATTATATAATGAGAGTTTCTTATTTAGCTATTTCATTTGGACTTGGGAAAAGGATATTTAGAGAGTCAACCTGGTGTGATACTAAAAGCGTTGGATTAGGACAGAAGACCTGGGTTCAAGTCCTCACTCAGCCATGAAGCTCGCTTGGGTGAATGTTCGGTCAGGAGAAGAGGAGGTTGAGGGGGGGGGCAGGATTGCTCTCTTGAAGTATTTGAAGGGCTGTCAACTTAGGCCCAGTCTGCATCTAGCATTTGCTCCACTGTTTTACCAAACCCACACTGGAACAGAAAAAGATGCAGCTCAAAACTACATTCAAATATCCCAGACTAATGCCGTACTTACTGCAGAGTCACCCCTGAATGGCCATAAAACGGCCATAAATCTATGCAGACAGCTACCATAAAACCGGGAGATCAAAAAAGTGAAAGCGACAATCAATCAAAGTGAAAGTGGCATGCAGTATAGAGGGGAATTTCTGTTTTGGTAAACAGCAGTGCAAATGCTAGATGCAGATTGGGCCTTAGAGGAGCTGTTCCTGTTGACAGCAGAGGACAGGATTCGCAGTCATGGGTTTCAGTGAAGGGCGGGAAGGTACCGGCTGGATCTTAGGGAAAACTCTTTTACAGTAAGAGTTGTGCAAGAGTGGGATCAGCTGTCTAGGGAGGCGGTGAGCTCCCCCCACCTGGCAGCCTTCAAGCAGCGGCTGGGCAAATGCTTGTCAGGGATGCTCCAGGCTGATCCTGCACTGAGCAGGGGGCTGGACTAGATGGCCTCCTTGGCCCCTCCCGACTCTGTGGTTCTATAAGGGCTCTTTTTGTAGCAGGTACTCATTTGCATATTAAGTGACACACCCCCAATGTAGCCAATCCTCCAAGAGCTTACAGTAGCTCCTGTAAGAAGAGCTCTGTAAGGTCTTGGAGGATTGGCTACATTAGGGGTGTGTGGCCTAATATGCAAAGGAGTTCCTGCTACAAAAAGCACAAGGGGGACAGAGTAAGGAGACCGAAGGGAAGGATCCCTGAGTCCAAACCGAGCAGTATCTAAGAGGGATGGAAGCCCAGAAGCGAGCCAAAGATTCTGACGCCTCCCTTTGAGAATGAGCCGTCTCCTCCGCTGCTGGGCCACAACATTCTAATCCTCCACGTTGTTGTCTCTTGGTTGTTGCCAACTGTCTCTTGTGCTGTGTCCTTTGCGGCCCCACTGACATTTTCCACATTGGCTTGTCCGTTTGTGAGCTCCATGGCTCATTAAGAAGAGGAAACGATTCACTCGGGAGCCAGCCGTTCTGAAACAAAAGTATTTGTTTAGTTTTGGCACTGGGAGGACTCCTGCCCTCAGGCGTTCGTTGGAACGGGTAGCCTTCTTCTCTGTTTAATCCCCCACCTTCCCCTCCTATTGATCTAGTACAGTCTTCTTTTATCCTTCCTTCGGAGAGCTTACAGTCGCATACCGGGGTCCTCCCTCTCTCATTTCACCCTCACAATAACCCTGTGAGGCAAGATCCAGGTGGGCAAGTTAGATCCCGTGAGGCAAGTCCGATTCTGTGAGGAAAGTTAGGCTGGGAGAGAGTGACTAGCCCAGGTTTACCCAGCAAGCTTTGTGGCTGAGTGTGGATTTGAAGAGAAGGAGAAGAAGAGATTGGCTTTCTACCCCGCCCTTCCCTCGGAGTCTCATAGTGGCTTACAGTCTCCTTTCCCTTCCCCTCCCCACAACAGGCACCCTGTCAGGCAGTTGGGGCTGAGGGAGCTCTGAGAGAAATGCTCTTGAGGGAACAGCTCAGAGAGAACTCAGGACTGGCCCAAGGTCACCCAGCTGGGTGCATGTGGAGGAGTGGAGAATCAAACCCGGTTCTCCAACATTAGAGTCTACGCCCTTAACCACCACACCAAACTGGCTCCAGCCACTGCACCACCACACTGGCTCTTCCTTCCATCAAGGAACTCAAGGCGATAGACATGGGTTCCCTGGAGGTCTCCAGGCACTGAGCGGACTGGGTGTCCTCTAGCCATAGTGGTGGGAAGTGCCACCGAGTTGCAGCCGACTCACAGTGACCTTGTAGGGTTTTCAAGGCAAGAGACAAACAGAGATGGTTTCCATGTAGCAACCCTGGACTTCCTTGCTGGTCTCCCATCCAGGGCTATTTTTGGGCAGGAACGCACAGGAACGGAGTTCTGGCTGGCTCCCGAGTTGGCCACGCCCAATGGGAACTCATTAGCATAATAGGCCACACCCAACAGCAGAAACTCATTAGGATTGGCTACGTTAGGGGTGTGTGGCCTAACATGCAAAGGAGTTCCTGCTACAAAAAAAGGCCCTGGGTTTTGACACCACAAACAAGGTCAACAGAATAACAAGCAAAAAGTGGGTGTGGCTGGATGACCACACTTCTGGCAACATGGGGGTGCGGCCTAATGTGCTAATGAGCTGTGCTGTCAGGGGTGTGGCCTAATATGCTAATGAGTCTCTGCTGTTGGGTGTGGCCTATTATGCTAATGAGTTCCTGCTGGGCTTTTTCTACAAAAAGAGCCCTGCTCCCATCCATGGACTAACCAGGGCCGACCTTGCTGAGCTTCTGAGATCTGACCAGATTGGGCTAACCTGGGCCATCCCCGGTCAGAGCATATTAATACTACCTTTTTAATTAAAAAAAATAATGCTGCCCAGTAAGTTGTAGCCGGTTTATGGTGACCACCTGGGGATTTCAAGGCAAGAGACAGACAGAGGTGGTTTTGCCATGGCCTGCCTCTGCGTCGCAACCCCTGGACTTCCAGAGCCAGTTTGGTGTCGTGGTTAGGAGCGACAGACTCTGATATGGAGAACTGGGTTTGATTCCCCACTCCTCCTCCACATGCAGCCAGCTGGGTGACCTTGGGTCAGTTACGGAGCTGTTCTCTCAGGAGCAGTCCTCGAAAGAGCTCTCTCAGCCCCACCTACCTCTCAGGGTGTCTGTTGTGGGGAGAGGAAGGGAAAGGAGATTGTAAGCAGCTCTGAGACTCGGAGTGAAGGGCGGGGCATAAATCCAATCTCCTTCTTCTCCTCCCCCTCCCCCTCCCATCCAAGTACTAACCAGGGCTGACCCTGCTTAGCTTCTGAGATATGACAAGAAGCATGGGCCAGCCACGTCAGGGCTCTGCGGCCATGCCCTGGGAGTGTCTCGTTTCAGTGGCAAGACAGGTTCACACCCTCCACGGCCCTAAGGCTCAGGTTGGGAACAATCTGTCTCCGGAACCCTCTGGGGTTTGGAGGCAGGGTGGTGTCTCATTCCATGGAACAAGCCATGCCCATGTTCGGAAGGTTCTGGGGCAGGGCTGTGGCTCAGCGAAGGAGGACATGCTTCCAGAAGCTCTTGTGATGGGCAGGACGAGTGCATCGGGGGTGGGGTTTATATATTGAACGGGCTACTCTGGGGTGCAGCCCCCACCCCGGAGGGTGGTGGAAGAACGGTTTAACCCGCACTGGAATAACGGTCCCCAAATACAGTTTCCCTTTTAGAGCCAATTTGGCGTGGTAGTTAGGAGCATGGACTCTGATCTGGAAGAACTGGGTTTGATTCCCCACTCCTCCACGTGCAGCTGCTGGTGTGACCTTGGGTCAGTCACAAGTTCTTTCGGAGCTGTTCTCTCAAGGGCAGTTTTCGAGAGACCTCTCTCAGCCCCACTTACCTCACAGGGTGTCTGTTGTGGGGAGGGGAAGGGAAAGGAGATTGTGAGCCGCTCTGAGACTCCTTCGGGTAGTGAAGGGCGGGGTATAAATCCAATCTCTCCTTCTTCTCTTCTTCTATTCCGCATGCAAGCAGATGGATTGGCAGCCGTTTGCTTGGTTTGAAGGATATAAAGAAAGGAACTTGGGGGCACTAATGGTGGCCCTGTTGAGTTTTCAAGGCAAGAGACATTCAGTGGTGGTTTCCCGTTGCCTGCCTCTGCGTAGTGACCCTGGGCGTCCTTGGAGGTCTTCTATCAAAACAGTAACCAGGGCCAAACTTTGCCTAGCTTCTGAGAACTGACAAGACTTGATTAGCCTGGGCTATCCAGGTAACACCCCATATTTGAAAAACCAAGCCTGTTCCTCTTTGCATAGCTCCAACGTCATACTCGATGCCCGGTTGGTGTCAGCAAGCTGCCAATGTTTTTTTTTCTTCCTTCATGTATGCGCTTGGTTGCTTTTGCTTTCATATGTAGACCTGTTGATGCGCTTAATTGCTTAGCTGCTGGGACGTCTATATCTCTCAAGGCCACAGGTGGTTGCTGCTGCAGGATAGTTGCTGGGTGATCTCACGAAAAACCGTGGGAAGGAGATAGCTTGTGCCGCCTAGAAGCGTTTGCTCCCAGGCCCGATGGCGCGCGGGGGAACTCCCGCAATTGGGCCTCTGTTGTTTGAGTGTACTATAACCTGCCATGCTCGTTGCTCCCCCCCCATTCCTAACAGTTTTCCTGTCCATGCATCTATAGCTTCGAATAAAGTAAAACCTTCCTGCAAGTGTGTACTTCGTTGTTGCTGTGGATCCTGGCAGTTGGTCGGTCACCCTACCCGGTGACGGAGTGTCGTGAGCTGGCTTGTACGACACAGAGAATCTTTCAGTTCTGTCTCTCTCCTTTCCACTGTAGGAGGAAAACGTCAGCTGCGCAGAGGGACAGGGAGTTCTTTGAGGTAAGGAGGCTGCGGGGAGGAGGAGGCCTGTCTCCCTCTGAAAACGAGACGAGCTTCCAGCATTGGCAGAATCAGACAACAGTGCCTCGCCACGATCACTGAGCGTGGCGTGGTCGCGGCTCAGTGCCGCAGCGGAAATCTCAAGGTTCCGTCTTCAGCATCTCCAGTCCAAAGGGCTGGGCAGTAGGTGACATGGAAGGCCTCTATCTGAGACCCTGGAGAGCCGCCACCGGGGCGTTTTTTCTTGGGGAACATGCCGGAGCAGAGTTCCGGAACTTCTTCGACAAAATTCTTTTAAAAATGTTTAAAAGTTGGTGAGTTTTCAGTATAGAGATTGAAGACTTCATTTCCGTCTTGAGAGTTCCGGCACCTCTTAAAAAAGGAAAATAGTTTCGGCCGCTGCCGATCCGAATAGACAGTGCTGTCCCTGATGGACCACGGGTCTGATTTACTGCAGGGCAGCTTCATGGATGTGCGTTCAGTAGGAGAGGCGTCGAGAGTGGAAGACAGCACAAAAGCAGATCGCTGTTTCTCAGAGCTGTGGGAATGGGTGGGGCTCATAGGTGGAGCACACGCCCTGCATGGATAAAGGGCCCAGGTTCAAGTCCCTGGCAGCGTTCCCTCTAAGCTGTGCGCGTAAACTCATTAACACAGGAAGCCCCGCTCAGCAGCAATCTGGAGCTGCACGGGGTCTTGCACTGCCCGTTTTAAGATCACAGCAGATAGATTCTGCTCCACTCAGTTGGGGGGGGGGGGCAAAATTAGAGGGAACATTGTTCCCTGGTATCTCCAGCCAAAAACAGGATCATGGGGTGTGGTACTAGAAAAGACCTGGGAGAGCTACTGATGGTGTCAAGCAGGGCCTTCTTTCCTTCCTCCCTCCCTTCCTCCTTCCCTTCCTCCCTCCCTCCCTCCCTTCCTTCCTCCCTTCTTTCCTTCCTCCCTTCCTTCCTTCCTCCCTTCTTTCCTTCCTTCCCTTCCTTTTTTCCTTCCTTCCTTCCCTTCTTTCTTTCCTTCCCTTCCTTCTTTCCTTCCCTTCCTTCCTTCTTTCCTTCCTTCCTTCCCTTCCTTTTTTCCTTCCCTTCCTTCTTTCCTTCCCTCCCTTCTTTCTTTCCTTCCCTTCCTTCTTCCCTTCCTTCCTTCCCTTCCTTCTTTCCTTCCTTCCCTTCCTTTTTTCCTTCCCTCCTTCCTTCCCTTCCTTCTTCCCTTCCTTCCTTCCCTTCCTTCTTTCCTTCCTTCCCTTCCTTTTTTCCTTCCTTCCTTCCTTCCCTTCCTTCCTTCTTCCCTTCCTTCCCTTCTTCCTTCCTTCCTTCCCGTTATTTCA